AAAACAGCGATCGATTTGTGAAAACCATAGCGCTGCTAGTGGTCAAGAGCTCCATGGGATAACTTTACAGATTCAGTCACTCCTGTATGCAGAGGTGTTTCTCTCTCATTCTTATTTTTATCATTTAAATCTTACAGGTTTTAATAATGTCTTAAAATGCTGAAATTACATAGCCCTGAAATTTTTGTTATGCCTGGTTATGAATCAGATGGAGATGCTAATAGCTGGGTAGCACTCTAAGTCCCACATTTAGCCTTTATAAGCAGCATATAAACATTTAATAAATGTTTGATAATGTCCTATAATGTATTTATAAGTCTTACTGATAACCATAAATGATACATTTCTAGCTCTGTATGAGAAATGATTGTTTGTCATGTTCTGTCTAATTTAATTTGTTCAAGTGAATGTCAAGCATCAGGTCATTTGTGCATGTATGTATTTGTGTATAATTAAGTCCATCTTTTTCCAGTTGCTAACATGTCCCTTACATTCAATATATTAATTCATGTGCAATATTTTAGATACAAAAGTGCAAAATTCTGCACCTCTCTCCAGAAAAAATATTGCTTAAAAATGCTTAGGTACTTCAGAGCTGAGTTCCTCTCATTGTCTCTTTATGAGCTACTATACAAGTACAAAGAAGAAAAAAGGTTCAGAGGAAACCAGCAGTACCACTCCACTAACAGAGGAATCTTATAACTCAGGCAATTTTCTGGTGTACTGTATTCTTACCGGCACTATTCCATTCAGTTATACAATGGCTGGGTGTGTGTGTGTGTGTGTGTGTGTGTGTGTCTACTGGGGGAAACTTTTTAGGACACTCTTTTTTCGAAGGAAATGATTATAGCACAGCAGTGATGCCTCATGATTTTATTTGGATTATAGTATGATGGTGACGCGGCTTTGTGCAACATCATGAGACACCTTCAGCCATAGAGGAATAACACCACAGCAGGTTTGCTCGTGTGGGCGAAGTAAATCTGGATAAATTTGTTGCATCGTGTTCAGCTGTGATGAATTTGTCAGATTATGCATCAGTGACCAGTGGCGTGGTAACTTTTGAGGAAACTCAGAGCTTGAATACTGAGAATGGAGGATGCTAATGTAACTGCTCCACAAAAATACATAGGTTACAAACAGTTATGAGCCAAGAGAGGATGGTACAAATATGCCTTTTGGGTAAATTGTGTGAACTTGCTGACAGTTAGCTGTACCGCTGCTTGGTGTGACCAGGCCTATGGGAACATATTTCACAGATTGAACTGCTGGATCTTTTTTCACATTGCACATCACCACTGTGTTTTTAAAGTTTTGCTTCTGTCTTTATGTTGTCTGTTTCTTTTTATATGCAGCGACTTGTATGGATTTAATAAAAAACTAAACAAAGCAAAACAGATGGGTATAATGATTGTTCAGCAAGGAAAGCATTTGTATCCCTAAAAATGACGTTTTTCACCAATCATGATGCTTAATTTAATCTGCTGTTTAATTTGTAATCATCATAATCCTGGACTATAGAATGATACAATCATTTCAAATCCATATTATACATACTGTATTATCTGAAACGCAATCATCAGTGCTTTGTAACTAAGTGAGAGAAAACTAGTAGCAATGCCAGAAACCTTTCTAAGGTATTAGCGAAAACATTCTAAGCACGTTCCTGACAGGCTGATAGAGCAGTAAATACTGTATGTCAGTGCAGTGCAATGCTACCGATCATGACTTGAACTATACCTGCTATACAGTAGGTATGGATGATTGCTGTGATTTAAAAGGAGCTATTATTGTCAACATTGCTAAGAGTTGGAGGAAGACTTGGCATGAAAAAGTGACAGAACAACCTGCAGAGGTGCAGACTGTTGGATGCTCACCAGGTGCAGCATATGCTACAATATGGGAAACTGTGTGTAAAATAATGGGCTTTAAATTCTCACCAGTTCATCAACTCCAGGCTTTATTAGAACCACTTGTTTTGCTTTTCCTTTAATTTGCTGATATCAAAAGCTCCATAAAATTGGTAAAGCTGTTCCAGTGGAACAAAGAGTTTTGTGTTCGATTTAAAAAAAAAAAAATTCTTAAGAGGTTTTCTTTCTTTAAAAAAGTTAAGTAAACCACAAATTCTTCAATAATCAAAGAGCTTGAGGAAGTTATTCTGTATTCTCTGAGGAAATTCAGTGAAGCTTGAAAAGCAATTTCATCAAGGAGATTGTAATTAATTTTTGTTTGGTTGTTTTCTCTTTTTGTGAAACTTACGACCTGTTAACAATAAACTAGTACTTGAAAAAAATGGAATCTCAGTATGATCTACCTCGCGCTGTCTTTCTCAAACACTCTTATAGTGTTACCTACAGAGCACTGCCTGGTTTATTCAAAAAAACAAAACATCCAATTATCAGTCCTTGTTAAAATTCATAAAAGCCGTTTCTATAAAAAATTATTTTCTTTATCGAGTGCTCTTTTCTTGCGTGACATCCACATAACAGTTTCCTTTTTGAGTCGGTGCCTTTGTTGCTTTTAAATTCTAGGACTCTACTTTGTTTGCGTATCATCCACTAACACCACTTTTCATCTGTTTCCTCTGCCTTTAATTATCATGTTTTAATTCTTTTTCAGTAGAATATTAGAAAAACAGCACTGCAGTTAATGAGCTGAAAAGGGTTTGTGATGATAAGCACAATCCCTGCTGAAATGCCCCTAAGCAAGGGCTGAGTCCGTCTCTGAACTCTGACCTCCGTGCAGAAAATTAAAACAGAAAGAGTTTTGTCTTCAGAAGCCGGGCACAGAGTTTTTCCCATGTTCTAGGTCTCTCGTCTGTCTCTTCTTATCAGCTCCAGTCTTAACAAGTGTACAATAAGCACTGGATATGCCCCCCTGCCGTATCTGGCTCCCTGCTGCCCTCGCTGCTCAGTGACAGGTGAGGACCTGTCGACACTCAGCCAGCTACATTTGAAAAGGCCTCCCACAAGTGCTGCTTTTCTAAGAATAAGACATACTGTAATGCTGCTCACCTCCCTGCTGTAATCATTGTTTTAAATGTCAGTATAGTAGCTCTCACTAGAGAGGTGTTTTCTGACAACAAAATCAGAAAATTGTCAGAAGAAATAAGACATTTAGTCATTTTCTCTTGGTGTCAGTGAATGTTTTCCTGCCTTAAATGGATAGTGTTAGATGCAGTGACGCGCTCCTGTTGGTAAGTCTAATCACCTGTGTCAGGCAGATCTTTTGTATTTTATATGTGCATACATAAGGCATGGTTAGTACATTTGACAACAGAATGTA